TCCTTCTTTCCATCCTCCCTCCCTCCCTCCTTCCTTCCTTCTTTCCTTCTTTCCTTCTTTCCTTCTTTCCTTCCTCCCTCCTTCCTTCCTTCTTTCCTTCCTTGAAGCCCCTTCTCCCGAAGCCCAGGGCATTGCCTCACCCCCTCTGATGCAGCCCCTGGAGCCGTTTCAGTGCCACTAACCGTCTCCCCGGGGGACTCTGTTTATTGTCACCAATTAGGCCTGGCGCTGCCACCCGTTTATTCACCTAAGCTTTTAATTAACATCCGCAGCATCATCCTGCTGTTTGCCAGCGGTTTCATGCTTCTCCCTTGCCTTTCCTCTGGGTTTTATCACATCGTGGTGTTCTTTACTTCTATGGAATATCCCCCTGGTGTGGTGGGTTTTTCACTTGGCGGTTTCCGAGCTCAGGTTGGGAAGATCCGTGGAGACATTTTTACATTTAAAAAAAAAAAATCAAGCTTGGATTAAAAAAAAATATAGATGTAATGTTCAGGCATTCAGGCATGGTTGTCTGCTCGGTTAGTAACCCGGTCGTTAAGTGAATCCGGCTTGCCCCATTGCTGGTCAGAAGGCCGGAGTAGGGGATCACGTGACCCCAGGACACTGCGACCGTCATAAACAGGAGTCGGTTGCCAAGCGTCTGAATTTGGATCACGTGACCGTGGGGGGATGCTGCAATGGTCGTAAGTGTGAAAATAAATAAATAAATAAATAAATAATAATAATAGTAATAATAGTAATAATAGTAATAATAGTAATAATAGTAGGACACTTAAAGTGTCAAATTTAGCAGAAATGGCTAAGATTTCTGCCTATTTGAAGGATCACTCACAAGAAAGATACATTTCGGTTTGGAGAAGATGGATAGATTATATTCAGAATAAATATGGGACTAAAAAGTTCCATTTAGCTTATGAGTAAATTTTAGAGTATTATTAGTATTAATAGTTTACTATAGTGAAATTTTTATTAGTTTTAATTATATGATATTATTATTACTTTTAGTATTAGTATTGTTTAACAATATGGATATTCTATTGTTTAATAATTAGGATACTAATTTGTTTATGTTTTAATTATTATTATTATTATTATTATTATTATTATTATTATATTTATATTAAAGGGGAGTTAAAGCGCATTATGGACTTGGTTATTTATATAGTTGGTTAATGTTAGTTATATTATGATTATTATATTTGTAACCCTGTATTCAGCTCTGGGAAGCGGGGGAGGGAGAGGGGGGGTTAGGGTGGGTTGGTTTTGGGGTTTATATTGTAACTTTTATAAAACTTTTCAATAAAAAAAAGTAATAATAGTAATAGTAGTAATAGTAATAATAGTAATAGTAATAGTAGTAGTAGTAGTAGTAGTAATAATAATAATAATAATAATAATAATAATAATAATAATAATAATAATAATAATAATAATAATAATAATAAAAGTTAAAAGGGACCTTGGAGGTCATCTAGTCCAACCCCCTGCTCAGGCAAGAAACCCTACACCATTTCGGACAAAAGCAATCAATCCACCGGTCCCTCTTTTGGGGAAGCCAGATTCACTTAACAACTGTGTTACCAACGTAGCAAGGGCAAGTGATTCACTTAACGACCGGGGCGAGAAAGGTCGTAAAACGGGGCAAGACTCACTTCACAAACGTCCCGCTTAGCAACATTCATTCGGGGCTCCACGTAAGTGCTCGTCAGTCGGGAGCCACCTGTACCAGGAGGTACCTTTCTAGCCCAGCTGTGCGAACAGGCCTCTTGACTCTCCGCTTCTTGCCCGCAGGGAGGTCATCCAGATCGACCAGTTCCTGAAGGAGACGGCCGTCCGCGAAGCCAACGCCAAAGTCCGCCTGCAGCAGTTCATCGAGGAGCTGCTGGACCGAGCGGACCGAGCCGAGAAGCAGCTTCAGATCATCAGCAGCAGTTGTGGAACCACGCCGAATTGTAGTTTGGGGCGATGTAGTATGCCGGGATCCAAAAACACCAGCCGAGACGTAGCTAATGAAGCCAATCTCCTAAAAGGGGAGGTGGGTCTTCCCGAAGTGATGGAGACGGTGGTCAAGGCGGGATCTCCTCTTGGTTCCTCCTCCTTCCACTCAGTGGAAGAGTCAGCTCATTCAGGGCAACCTCCAGCCGTAAAAGCACGCAAGTCCATAAGCCAGGTCTGCGCGGAGTCTGGTCAGTGCAAGTGGGGCCGACCTGGGTAAATAGAAGCTCCACGTTCAAGAGCATTATGCTCGTCAATAACAGAATTTCAGAGTCGGAAGGGACCGTGGAGGTCCTCTAGTCCAGCCTGCTGCTCAGGCAGGAGACCCTATACGAGGGGTGGCAACCTCGGCTCTTTTATGACTCGTGGACTTCAACTCCCAGAATTCCTGAGCCGGCATGGGGGAATTATGGCCCCCTCATGACTCGTGGACTTCAACTCCCAGAATTCCTCAGCCAGCATGGCTCAGCTTGGAAACCTCTCCCTTTCTCCTCAGCACGGCTGACTCAGGAATTCTGGGAGTTGAAGTCCACGAGTCATAAAAGAGCCAAGGTTGCCTACCTCTGGCCTAGGAACTAGGCCGCTTTATGACTGGTGGACTTCAACTCCCAGAATTCCTCAGCCAGCATGGGGAACTAAGGCCCCTTCATGACTGGTGGACTTCAACTCCCAGAATTCCTGAGCCAGCATGGCTCAGCTTGGAAACCTCCCCCTTTCCCCTCAGCACGGCTGACTCAGGAATTCTGGGAGTTGAAGTCCATGAGTCATAAAAGAGCCGAGGTTGTCTACCTCTGGCCTAGGCCTAGGCCACTTTATGACTGGTGGACTTCAACTCCCAGAATTCCTGAGCCAAGATGGCTCAGCTTGGAAACTCCCCCTTTCCCCTCAGCGTGGCTGGCTCAGGAATTCTGGGAGTTGAAGTCCACCAGTCATAAAAGAGCCCAGGTTGCCTATCCCTGGCCTATAGCATTTCAGACAAATGGCTGTCCAGCCTCTTTTTAAAATCCTCCAGGGATGGAGCACCCACAACCTCTAGAGGCAAAACGCTCCAGTGATTAATTCTTCTCATTCTTAGGAAAGTTCTCCTTGGTCCTAGGTTGCTTCAACGCTTGATTAATTTCCCTGCATTGCTTCTTGTCCCGTCTTGTCTTCAGGTCAAAAAGCAATCTTCCAAACAAGATCCCAAAGATGCTTTTTTTCCACGAGGCAAGTGGATTTTCTTGTTTTTCCTTTGAAGACGTTTCGCTTCTCATCCCAAGAAGCTTCTTCAGCTCTGACGGGATGGTGGGGGAATGGAAGGATTTATACTCCTTGCAGACAGTTGTTCGTTTTGAACGGCCAGCCGTCTGCAAGGAGTATAAATCCTCCCATTCCCCACCATCCAGTCAGAACCTGAAGAAGCTTCTTGGATGAGAAGCGAAACGACTTCAAAGAAAAACAAGAAAGTCCAGTTGCCTTGCGGAAAAAAAAGCATCTTTGGGATAACGATGACTTGGAGGACTGAGCGTCTCCATACACATTCCAAACAAGATCACCTAGACTTGTGTGGATGAAAACAATAGCGGAGCTGTTTTTTTTTAATGTAGGATTTTTATTTTATTCTGGCTCGCTTCCTTCATGCGGGCTGCGGAATTCTGGGAGTTGAAGTACACCCATCTGAAGTCTGAAAAACTTCAGTTTTTAAGCCAATGCAGTGATGTAGATCTATTGCAATAGTGTGCCCTCACTGTTAGAAACGGGGCGTGAAAGGTGAGGATCCCGTTGAATAAGAGGAACATCGGGGTCGTTCCCGGGGGATTATCAGCAAGGAGACGGTGGGGATATGCAAGGGAGTCCCTATTTTGGTTTCCTTCAGATGGATTGAGGTGAACACGGGGCAGTTTTGGTCTTCAAGAGTCTTCGGCTTGCTACAATGACTTGCTATGTTCTGACCTTCTTGAGATGGTTAGTCCTATGGTAGAGGTGACACTGATGAGTGTAGATTTCTGGGAAACTGGCTCCACGAAAGCTTGATGTTAGAGGTGGTCTCCTTATGTCTGATGGTGGGGGAGGGAAGAGGAGCTGAGCAAATGTGATGTAAAGTTTGGGTCTCCAAACATGGCCATTTTAAGACTCACCTCCCAGAATTCCACAGCCAGCATAGGGAATTCTGGGAGTTGAAGTCCATAAGTCTTAAAGTGGCCATGTTTGGTGTAAAAGATGGTGAGCGTGGAAAGAATCATGGATGGGCCATTACAGGAGAAGCTTAGGACCTTGTGCTGGCCTTCTCTGGAAGCCACGTGGTTTCCAACCTATTTCTGGTGGCCTTGACCAGCCAGAATTGATTTGCAAGTAAAGCATTGATTATCCACACGCAGTGTTTATCAAACTTGGCCCCTGTAAGATGTGTGGAGTCCATGTCCTCTCACAGGTCATTGAAAGTCTACTCTTCCTAGGTGGACACAGACATTGGACCTCATCTGTCTTTTGAAACAGCTGCCGAGCTATCAGGGTGGACATTAAAAGAAAACCGTGGGGTCCTTGGGGTTCTCTGAGCTTGGTGGTATTCTTGCAGACGTTTCATTACCAAACTAGGTAACCTCATCAGTGATGATCATTAGCACTCATAATGTTTCCTAGTTGGGTAATGAATGTCTGCCAGAAAACCACCAAGCTCCCTTCTAGCACTAATGTTGTTATCTAGTTGGGTCATAAAACGTCTGCAAGAAAACAACTAACCTCCAGGAGCACAAAGGACCTGGCAGTCCTCCTCCTCCTCCTCCTCCTCCTCCTCCTCCTCCTCCTCCTCCTCCTCCTCCTCCGCCTCCTCTTTGCAAATCCCTCTCCCTTCTAGCACTGATGATGCTACCTACTTGGGTCATAAAACGTCTGCAAGAAAACAACTAACTTCGGGAGCACCAAGGGCCCCCACAGTTCAACCCTGATCCACAAATATTTTCTTCTAAAAAATATTTTAGAAGATGAATAAAGCTTATTCAACTCATCCAAGGTGTGCTTAAGAGGATGCACCAAGGGGAACGTCCGGCTTATATTTATATCGTGGTAAACCTCTGATTTTTGCTCTAAAATAATTATATCGTGGTAAACCTCTGATTTTTGCTCCTTAAAATCTACGTTTCGATCTGTGAAAACCTCCTAAGATTCTTCTTTCTTCTTAAGCAATCACGGGAGACCAAATCGAACGTTGTTCTTCTCAGCCTGGGCTGTGATAAGGTAGATTGGCAGACTTTACCCTGTCTCCTTGGAGACTGTTGTTATACAACAAGTTGCGTAGTTACACATAGTTACTGAGTTATGCATCGCAGGGTCTAGAGTCTGTAGTTCAGCATCCATGTTGGAAGGAGACGGCTTTTCAGAACAAAATGGTTCCTACTGAAAGACAGCCCTCCCACATCTGGGGCATTGGGCCCTTTGTTAAGTCCTCTGCCGTGGGCAGATCTCATCCCAGTTAAAATGAGATGATCATCAGCCAGGATCTGTGCAGGCTAAGAGAACCAATTAGAAGGATTTTCTCCAGGTATCTTATGGATTCAAAAATCCCCATTCAGAATAGAACTGGAAGGGATCTTGGAGGTCTTCTAGTCCAACCCCCTGCTCAAGCAGGAGACCCTACACCAAGGGTCTTCAAACTTGGCCCTTTTATGACTTGTGGACTTCAACTCCCAGAATTCCTCAGCCAGGCACAAGTGCCTGGCTGAGGAATTCTGGGAGTTGAAGTCCACAAGTCATAAAAGGGCCAAGTTTGAAGACCCCTGCCCTACATCATTCAGGACAAGTGATTGTCCAATCTGTTCTTAAAAGCCTCCAGTGATGAAGCACTCACAACTTCTGGTGGCTAGCTGTTCCACCGGTTAATTGTTCTCCTTATTTCTAGGTTGCTTCTCTCCTTGATTAGCTTCCATCCGTTGCTTCTTGTCCTGCCTTCTGTTGCTTTGGAAAATAGGTTGACCCCCTCGTCTTTGCGTCAGCCCCTCAAATATTGGAATACTGCTATCATGTCAAGGGTGGGGCTACGAATTTCCCAAGGGAAAATGAGAAATTAGAATGATTGTGGAGGGCCAAACCAACAGGGCTTTAAAGAGAGGTTGCCACAAAGAAGAGGGGGTCAAGCTATTCTCCAAAGCCCCTAAAGGCAGGACAAGAAACAATGGATGGAAAGTAATCAAGGAGAGAAGCAACCTGGAATTAAGGAGGAATTTCCTGACAGTGAGGACAATTAACCCGTGGAACAGCTTGCCACCAGAAGTTGTGGGTGTTTCATCATTGGAGGTTTTGAAGAAGAGACTGAAATGGTATGGGCCAGGGTCTCCTGCTTGAGTAGGGGGTTGGACTAGAAGACCTTCAAGGCCCCTTCCAGCTCTATTCTGATTGATTGATTGATTGATTGATTGAATGATTAAATGATTGATTGATTGATTGATTGATTGATTGATTGATTGATTGATTGAAAAAAAGGCACAGCTGTGTTAAAAAGAACATCCTGGAACTGCCGCAATCATGCTTCCTCAAACAAGGATTTCTCTTCTAAAGCAATGCAAATTTGAATTCCTCCTCCTCCGTCATCATTCTATATGTCTGCGGAGGTGGGTGGTGGTACCCTAAGGGGAGCAGGAACTAGTGGTTTGATTGACGTGGGATGGAGTGACCTCCCTGTTGCGTCTCTTTTCAGAGAGACAAGCATCCGATGGCTGACACAACCCCACACAGCTCCTACACCGTGTCGAATCAGAGATCATCGTCCAGCACCGGGTATGGAATCAACTCTCAGTGTGCGGTTTTGCACATCTGGTGGTTTCCCTGTTATTTTTCTATTTCAATTTTAAAAATAATAATAATAATTCAAAGCATTAAAACACCTTTCTGGCTTTGTGGACCGGTGTGTGTGGGGGGGGAAGAGGAATGATTTTGCACAAGTGGTAGCACAGCGTACTCACCTTTCCCAGCTTTGTTTGCACAAATGGTTGACACACACGCTTATCGCTCGCCCAGGGCAGCTGTGAGTGTGTACTCGCCCGCCACTTGCACAGCCTGGTTCTGAATGGGCCGCTTCCCGGTACCGGGCCTTAGCCCGTGGGTTGTGAACTCCTGCATTAAAATATATAGTCTTTCACAAAGAGGAAAAAGCATGAGCATAAAAAGAAAGAAAAAAGGCAAACGTATACATAAATACGGCCGGCCTGGCGTAGTCTTAATTACGTTTTAGTACAGGTTTTATATGAGGTATTTTAGAGCAGGCCTTTATTTATTTAATCTGATTTTAGAATAGATATTTATTGTGATTTTTATTATCGCCTGTTCACCGCCCTGAGTCCCGTAAGGGAGATAGGGCGGTATACAAATTTAAATAAACATAAACATAAACATAAATTGTCCCCTCCCCAGTTGAATGCTGAGAAATATATTTCAAATATATATTTTTGAAGCAGGACTTTCTATATTCTACCACACCCTTTCCTCTCTTAGTATTATTAGTAACATTATTATTAATAATAATATTAATAATATTTTAGTTCTTTAGATTTAGATAACCTTTATTGTCATTGCTACAGAAAATTGGTTTCTATCTTCTCATCTCAGCTCATAAAAATTCATCTTATACAACCTTCAGTCAATGAAGACACAGATAATAATAATAAAGTTGGAAGGGACCTTGGAGGTCATCTACTCCAACCCCCTGCTCAGGCAGGAAACCCTATACCATTTCGGACAAATGGCTGTCCAGTTTCTTCTTAAAAACTTCCAGTGTTGGAGCATTCACCGCTTCTGGAGGCAGGTTGTTCCACTGGTTAATTGTCCTCACTGTCAGGAAGTTTCTCCTTAGTTCTAGGTTGCTTCTCTCCTTGATAAGTTTCCATCCGCTGCTTCTTGTCTTGCCCCTCTGGTGCTTTGGAGAATAGCTTGACTTCCTCTTCTTTGGGGCAGCCCCTGAGATACTGGAAGACTGCTATCCTGTCCCTCCTTGTCCTTCTTTTCATTAAACTAGACCTACCCATTCCAGCAATCGTTGGGTAGGGTCTTCTCATTAGCCACCCACCCACCCAAAAATACTAGCTCTGCAGCTGCACAGCTCAGAGATCAGAGACCCCGACGTTGCCCTCTCTCCCAGGATCTTGTCCAGGTAATGTTGAGTTGATCCTTTGACCTATCCAGATTCTCAGAGAGCATCAAGGACCCCTCATTGCAACTCTGAGTTACAAATATCTTCCTTTATAAGGTTCCAGATGTTTTGGCTGTCTGCTTTCAGGGCCTCCAGCTGTGCCAAGGCTGTCTCCCAGAGTTCGGGCTGCTACGACAGCGACAGCCCCGAAGCCTATCATGGGGGTGAGAACAGCAATGGGCCGTCCTACCAGTCTCGGGGTTCGGAGAGCGGCTTTGACCGGCCTGCCGGGGTGCGCAGCTCGGCTTTGCGCAGACAGGCGATTCAGAATTGGCACCGCCGGCCGTACCGGAACAGCACCGAGGGCGAGGAAGGCGACATCTCCGACATTGGATCCCGGACCACTGAGTCGGAGGCCGAAATGTGGGATCCGGAACCCAGGGTGCCCGCTGAGGTCCAGCAGGTGAATTTCTCCAGGCCAGGACACAATTCCAGGATGGCAGGTAGGTTTTGTCCACCGAGCAGAGGTCAGTCATCAGTTAGCTATTAACAGAATCACAGAGTTGGAAGGGACCTGGGAGGTCTTCTAGACCAACCCCCTGCTCCAGCAGGAGACCCTGTGCCATTTCAGACAGGGGGCTGTCCAGTATCTTCTTGAAAGCCTCCAGTGATGAAGCACCCACAACTTCTGGTGGCAAGTTGTTCCACTGGTTAATTGTTCTCACTGCTAGGAATTTTCTCCTTAAGTCCAGGTTGCTTCTCTCCTTTATAGTTTCCATCCATTGTTTCTTGTCTTGGGAGGGATCTTGGAGGTCTTCTAGACCAACCCCCTGCTCAAGCAGGAGACCCTGTACCATTTCAGACAAAGATCCGACTCCATGGACCACAAAGTCTTTTTCTGCCGTCAGTTTTCCTCTGTTTCTAGTTAATGCAGGTAGTCCTCAATTTACAACCACAATTCACATCGTTAAGTGTGACATTTGTCAAATGAGTTCTGCCCCCTTTTACAGTGTTTCCTGCCACCTTTATTAAGTGAATCCCTGCACTTGTTCAATTAGTCACACGGACGTTAAGCGAATCTGGCTTTCCCCGTGGACTCTGCCTGTCAGAAAGTCGTAAAAGGGGATCACGTGACCCCCGGGACACTGCGGCCGTCATAAATGGGAGTCAGTTGTCAAACATCCGAATGTAAATCCCGTGACCACGGGGATGCTACCACGGTCGTAAGTGTGAAAAATGGTCGTAAGTCCTTTTCTACATAACTTCAAGCCGTCACGAAAGGAACGGTTGTAATTTGAGGACTACCTGTATTTAATCCCTCAAGGATTGCACCTCTGTTTTGTTGATGTTCGTAAACTGCCCACGGTTATATAGGTATAATCAATCATTTTTTACGACCCAGCCAGGTCCGATGCTGGAAAGGGGGGACGGTCCGAGAGGGGAAACAACTCCCGTTCCAACGAGGTCATCAGTCCGGAGATCCTGAAAATGCGGGCGGCTCTCTTCTGCATTTTCACGTACCTCGACACCAAGACCCTGCTCAGGGCCGCGGAAGTCTGCAAGGACTGGAAATTTGTGGCCCGGCATCCCGCCGTGTGGACCAGGGTGTTGCTGGAAAACGCCAGAGTCTCCTCAAAGGTAACGTGGAGCTTTCCGCTGCTGGGCTTGGGGGGGTCTTCTCTTTGACTAGAGTTCCTCGTCGGCGTACAACTCTTCGTTTAGTGACCGAAGTAACAATGACACAGAAAAAGAGACTTGTGACCGTTTTGCANAGAAAGAAAGAAAGAAAAGAAAGAAAGAAAAAGAAAGAAAGAAAGAAAGAAAGACCTGGAATTTAGGATGGATGGATGGCCTGGAAGTTTGGATGGATGGATAGAGGAAGGAAGGAAGGAAGGAAGGAAGGAAGGAAGGAAGGAAGGAAGGAAGGAAGGAAGGAAGGAAGGAAGGAAGGAAGAGAAATAAATAAATAAATAAATACCTGGAAGTTTGGATGGATGGATAGAGGAAGGAAGGAAGGAAGGAAGGAAGAAAGAAAGAAAGAAAGAAAGAAAGAAAGAAAGAAAGAAAGAAAGAAAGACCTGGAAGTTTGGATGGATGGATAGATGAAAGGAAAGAAGGTCTGGAATTTAGGATGGGTGGATAGGTGGATGGATGGATGGAGGGAGGGAGGGAGGGAGGGAAGGAAAGAAGAAAGTCCACATATCTTAAAATAGCCAAGTTTGGAAAACATGAATTTAAATCATCCCTTTTCCAAATAAACTTCTTCTTCTTCTTGTGCCATATCCGTTATCGGATGTTGGCGATCCTGTTGTTATCAGCAGCCACACAAAAAAGTGCTGCTGAGTTTTGTCCAAACCAATCCCTTAGATTTTGAAGCCACAATTTCTTTAAACTGCATTAATTTTTTTTTCCAGTTTCTCAGCAAACGGCACTGTTGTAAGTTGGGAATGTTGAAAATGAAATGCAGGATTTTTCAAACACAACATGTGAACAAATCACAGTATAAAATAGCCCTGCAGCCGATCAACGTAGTTTCATATTCGTTTAATCCTTGTTTCTCTGAAGAGTTTAAATTTGCAGAAAAGCTTACTATGGCCATAAGCAACTCCGGCGAGCCATCTTTTACAGAAAACCAGCCGATGTAAAGAATTTACGATTTTCTCTTCCTTTTTCTGGGATTTGTCTTGCTAGGGGCTGCCTCGAAGCAGGACTGGAGTCCTTACTCAAAGCTTCCGGGAGTAACCTCTTGATCCTACGGGTTTCCCACTGCCCCAACATTTTGACGGACCGCTCCCTCTGGCTGGCCAGCT